TTTGGTTTATTACCTGGGGGCCTCCTTCAGTATAATTGTTATGTCTGTTTGGATCGAGCCGCCTGCTTCTTTTACAAGTTCTGGTTGTTTGTTCAGTCCAGAGCCCGGTGGCTGTTGCGTTCTCTTGCTCTTAGCGGTTGTTAAATAGGATGAGTTTAAATGTCTGTCGATTTTTTTCGGTGGAGTTACACGCTTACAGAAATTCGCGTTCTTCCTCTCCTCTTGGCTGAGCCAGTGCGCGAATCCGCTCCAGTCTAACTCGTGTCCTTCCTGATCTTTGTGTAGGGAGATGAAATAAAATTGACCTGCTCTTTTTTGTGGCGAGCTTATGTAAATGTATTCCGGTAAAGATCTTCCATCTTGTTTGTCTTATACATCGCTTCTCGCGATCATTGCATGGGATCCTGTATATTTCACTGTTCCTCATCAATGGACCTCATTTTTCTTTGGATTCAATAGTGTCCTCCGCAAAGTGGCCACATGTTTTTAAGCCACCGTCCGGTCATACTATCTTGAGAGCTTTGAGGTCGTTACAGTGGTGTTCGTGGTGTTTACAAACATCACTTTCATCACTGGACGAAACGGGTATGCCCAATCCTCATTTACGTTTTCACTTTCTTGGTTTGTGAACACATTGACACAATGGATAATATGGTGGCTGGAACGTACGCTCGAAGCCCAATCACCTCTAGACTATTCGATCCGAATCATAGCACAAGTGGGTCCACTTTGCCCTCCCAAATCAGAATCCGGTAAAATCTTTTGACTCAACATTAGACTCAGCATTAGATCTTACGACTACTAGGTATGCGATAATGAGCGGGTTTAGTGGAACTTCAAGGCGACCTGGTGTATTCCCACCTGGTCATTGTTATAGTCAGCAACCAGAACACAGCCATTTGAACGGAATAAAAGTGCTGGTTCACGTAACATTTCGGTTTGACTTAGTATATATATATATATATATATATATATTGTATTGATGGGGAAATGCAAAACCCATTTGTTGTTTGTAGCCCCATATTCCGATAAGAGTAATATTTTACAATCCGGTAGGACGTCGTGATGCGAAAATCTAACTGTCCGATCAGAACCTGCACATAGGCGAAACATTATAACTCATGCCGAACGACTGTTGGGTTTGTGAAACATATGTAAGGTTC